AAGTTTCCAATAGGAGGATGTGTCAGGGATTCTGAGGACACAGAGGAAGGGTCAAACACAGCATCAGAGGGGAGGTGGTGCTGCCTTGAGAGATGACTAGAACCCTACACTCACTTCACCGGGAGGCTGGAGCTGAGAATAAAGAAGGGATGGGGAGAGGTATGGGGCCAAGGTCCTCAGCAACTTAAACAGGGCTCTGAAAAACTTGGACTTTACTCTAGGTAGGATTTCTTTGAGTGCCAGGCTTATCATAGAGAATTTCTCTTTGGAGAAGGACCTTCGCTAACATCTCCTGAGCCAGAAACATGAGCTAGGATCTAAACTGGCTGTGCCAGCAGAACCCCAAGTTACCAGGTGTCTGGCTGTCCCCCACTGTCTTGTCTTGAGGATTCACACTTCTTTTGCTATATAAGTAAAATGGCCCAGCATCCACCCTCCATATGGAAAGACACCCTGCAGTGGAAACAAAACCAACAATGAACTCACTGAGAAAGAAATTAGGAAAACAATACCACTCACAATAGCACCAGAACAGAATTCGATATTTAGGAATTAACCTAACCAAGAAAGTGAAAGATCCCTACAACAAAATCTGCAGTACTCTGAAAAAGGAGATTGATGAAGGCATCAGAAAATGGAAAGATGTCCCCTGTCCCCCATTATTGCCAAAACAGTTATACTTCCAAAAACTGATGTACAGTACAGATTTAATGCAGTCTCAATCAAAATACCAACACCATTCCTTATAGAACTAGAGAAAACAATTCTAAAATTCATATGGAACTAGAAGAGACCCATGATAGCAAAAGCAATCCTGGGCAATAAGAACAAAACAGGAGGCATCACAATCCCAGACTTCCAGTTACATTACAAAGCTACAGTGATAAAAACAGCATGGTACTAGCAGAAAAACAGATATGTACATCAATGAAACAGAGTAGAGGATGCAGCAACCCCAGGCACATTAACTATCTGTTCTTTGACAAAAGGGCCAAAAACATACACTTGAAGGAAAGAGGGCCTCCTTAATAAAGAGTACTGGGGAAACTACCTATACACAGGCAAAAGATTGAATCTAGACCCATACTCTTCCCATGCACTAAACTAAAATCAAAATGCCATCAAGAAGGACAAACTTGAGTTATTGGTAGGAAAATGGATTGGTAGGAAATAAATCAGACACAGACTTAAATAGTGCATGGTTTCTCTTATATGAGAAATCCAAATTATAAATAAAGAGCAAAACAAAAGACAATGGGAAATAGGGACATAGATCTTTTGCAAAGGGGAAGGGAACCAAGAGGTGAAGGGATGGGAGAGAAGGGAGGGAAGGGGAATAGAAAAGAGAATTAAGATGTGTTATGTGCGTGTACCAACTCCCTATGAGGAATGTGACCATTCTGTACTGCGAACATGCACTAATAAAAACATAAGAACTGAAAAAAGACTCCCCACAACCTCTGGGAGTATCTCTAGTTTCCCTCGGTATCACTCACATGCGTTCCCTTCCTTCACTGCTTTCTTGTCACCTGGGGTCTTACCTCCTGCCCTGAAAATCTTCTCACTAACCCAAAGAACTCGGTAGCCTTTTCTCTGATTCTGCAAAGCAACCACGAACCAAGTGCTTTCTGAAGAGAATCACAATTGCACAAGAAATAACACCATGAATCAACAAACAGGATCATATCAGATGAAAAGGCTTCTGCATAGCAAAGGAAACCACCAACAGCGTGAAGAGACAACCTTCAGGATGGGAAATTTTTGCCACCTATTTCTTGGACAAAGGACTAGCATCTAGAATATATAAAGAACTCAAAATATTAGAACTCTCCAAATAAAAGGCACAGTAACAAATGGGCAACTGAGATGAATAGACACTTCTCGGAAGACACACAAATAAATACATGAAACAATGTTTAACATCCCTGACCACTAGAGAAATACAAATTAAAACAACAGTGAGATTCCAGCTTACTCCAGAAAGAATGGCTATCATCAAGAAATCAAAATATAACAAATACTGGTGAGGCTGCAGGAAAATAAGGAACCCTTCTACATTGTTGGTGGGAATGTAAACCAGCACAACCATGATGGAAATGTGTATGGAGATCCTCAAAACACTGCAACTAAAATTCTATTGGACTCAGCTAGTCTCCTTCTAGGTATCTTCCTGAAAAAGTTAAAGGCAACATATTACAGTGATCCATGCATACCAGTGTTTATAGCAGCACAATTCACAAGAGCTAAATGTTGAAAATGGTCTCTATGTCCACAACAGATGACGAATAAAGAAATTGTTTTCACGTGGGTCCCTGGCCGTGGTGCTCAGATGCCGATCTCTCCAAGCCCTTTGTACATCTCCCCCTTGGGATTTCTTGAGCTGGGTTCACCAGGCATGGCTGAGACAGGATGTGTACACAAGCCATTTATTTGGAAGGTGCTCCCAGGATGTATAGGTGGGAAATGGCAAGGACAGAGGAGGGAGGTGAAGGTAGTTTCCTACCGGCTGTGAGTTTTTGATCTCAGGCTGTCACTGCAGGATGGAGCTGGATCCCACCAGGGACCCCCATGGGTGAGAGAAGCTGTATTTAGACTCTCACTTCCATCCGTGATTGGCTGAGGGCTGCTCCCAGGGAGCTGACTCCCAGCAGGTCTAACCTGCACCTGGAACAAGCTGGAGGTCGCAGTCAGAGGGTTTCAGGGTGCTGCTGAAGATGAGCACAAAGCCCAACACAGGTGCAGCACTGAGGCCTCTGCTCAGATGGAAGATGGGGCAGCACCGTCCAGCCACAGCCCACTGGGCATGTATCCTTGGAGTGAGGGAGGCAATCTTCCCTCCAAAGCAGCCACCAAGGTGTGTGGCTAAACAAAGGACCAGATACCCTGAAGAAATCCTGCCTCCCTCCCAACAAGAAATCTGTACACAGCTGTGGTTTGCAAACCACGATTGCTTCTGCACACCACAAGGTAGATTCTGTCATTACTCCCCTCTAGATGAGAGAGGCAGAGATGGAAAGACAAAGCCACGCTTCTGACTCCCATCACCCTGACTGCAATGACCATGCACATTCTCAGCTGCTATGCTGTGTGGTCGTTCAAGAGCCTAGTAGTGGGCTTGGGTTAAACATGTAATAACAATGCACGTGTCAACAAAACTTTGCACACTTAATACTCACAGCCTCTTTGCCCCATCCTGCACTTGCAGGGGTGCTGGGGTGCTATTATTGTGCCCATTTTACCAAGAAGGAACCCAAAGCATGGGTAGCTTTGAGTCACATGCCCACATTCCCATAGACTTGAGCCATGACTGTCCCTTCCACCTCTATGAAAGCCTGGTTCCAAGTACAGAGGGCTTGGGCCACATTCATCCTGAGCCGCCATTGAGGGCTAAAACTGTTCCCAAAACAAGTCATGAAGCATGATCTTCAGAGGCAACAGGCAGCGTGTCATTCTGTCCCCATTGTCACTATCACTATGGAAGCACAAGTGGAGGGCGTGGCCCAGCCTTGTGGTGCTGAGCAATCATTACACTTTGGGAAGGAAGCAGGAGCTAAGAAAGAGATGTTGTGGGCTAAGAGGAGAGCTCTTGGGTGTATTTTGAGCTCACAGTGGTAAAAGGCATAGGCTGCATGGGCTCAGGCCCCAGCTCTGACACTTGCCAGCTGTGCGAGCTTGAGCAAAGTACTTCAACTCTCCATACCTCAATTTCCCCACCTGTAAGATGGGGACAATGATCTCTGAGGAGAATTAAGTGAACTAAGGTATTGAGAGATGCTGGAACATAGGAAGCACTATGGAACTGCTTGCAATTATTATGTCATCATTTGGAGTAGACTCCAGTCCTTTTGGGAAATGGAGGGCTAAGCAGGGAAACTAAAGCAGAAAACAAGGCCATATGGGATTAAGTAAGGTTGGAGCGAGCCTGGGTGGGATCTCCTTGGGCTCATGGTCAGCAGCAGCATGACCGAGGTGGAGCTCATGCCCGGTGGGACAGGCCCTCCCCAGGGCATTTCTGGGTGAGAACGAGACAGAACTGTGGCTGCAGGTGACCTTCCTGAGTGGAAGTGCAAGGCAGCTGAGCATGCGGCCTATGGAATCAGATCAGGCCAGGTTTATCTCCCAGCTCTACTTTGAGCAAGTTATTTTGTGGCAGTTATCTGTGAAATGAGAAGGGCCTCCTCCCAGAGCTGACCAGTAGGTGGCCGAGCCACCACTCCCCTCCTGAAGTCCTCTCCTCTAAGTACTCCTTTCCAGACTCTGCGTGACCCCCACTTCACGCCCTGCTCTTAGCAACAACACTGAGGCCCTGCAGAAGCAGTTCTGGGCCTCCTTCCTGCTCAGCCTGCATGCCCCCTTGGAAACCCCACCCTAGGTTCTGGTTGCCAACTTCAGCTGCAGGGCCCTGCACAGACCTCTACCCTGGACTCCTCACTCTCTTCCGGGCTGTCCTCTGGACACCACCATCTCCCAACCACCTCAAACAGTAGGTTCTAAACCAGTGCATCCTCTGTTGTCCCAGCCTGTCCCTTGCAGCTATGTAAATAGCACCACCTTCTGCTAAGTCACTGCAGCCAAAATCCTCTCACCCTCTCCCTTGGCAGAGGACACTCAAATCTACCGCTGCTCTGGACCCGGCCACCCTCATCTCTCACCTCTACCTGCATCCATCCTCCATCCTGCAGCCAGAGCACCTTCCCAAACACAGATGCAAGCAGCTTCCTGGCCCAGCTCTTTAAGGATGTGTCAGTTCCTCAGGATCAAGGCCCGAGTGGGAACTCTGGGCTTTCTACCTCCTGGGCCCTGCCTGACTTCTTTGCTTCTCCCCTGCATATATACCTCTAGGCACGATTTGAGCGTGGCTGTCCCTGGATTCACCTTCCCAGGGGCCCTCCTCACTGGGGCTGCAGTGTAGTCACTGTGACTTCAGTGGCCAACAGGGACAATGAATAAATGAATGAGGCAGGACCCTGGTGTATCTTCCAGGCAGACTGAGAGGCTTGGATAGCCACCTAGAGGTGGTGACGGCTGGCAGGCAGGAGCATGCTCCAAGGGACAAGAATCCTGGTCCCTTGTCTTGAAGGAGAACGCTGGTGCCAGAAGGGCAGGTGCTGTCTGTGAGAATGCCACTTCCCTCTTGTGACCTTTACCAAAGGCATTTTCTCTGAATGTCAGGTTCATTAGATACAGGGTTGGGGGTGGAGGAATCTCTTTAACACTGAATTAAAGACAGGACAGACAGATATCCTGACTGACAAGCCAGCCTGGAGGGTGAGAAGACACGCACCTTCTGTGGGTCATGCCCTTACTCCAATTCTGGGGACAAAGCCATGCTTGTCTTCTGGGATGACGCCTCCTCATTGCTTTCTGCCCTGGGATCCGAGGACAAGCACTCACCAGCTACATTCTGGTGCCCTGGTTCCAGGAAGAGGCAAACATACCCTTAACCACCTGGCTCCTCCTGGCTCTCATGCCCAGCCTGGCATCAGGGATTATTGTGCGTAGTGCAGAAAGCTACTCTCAGTCACACTTGCTGAACACAGGAGAAAGAAGTCAGACACTTATCCTATCCTCAAGAAATGCCAAGTCTCGTGAGGAAGCCACACAGATGTGCAGATATTACCTAGTGGTGGGCTTGGTGCCATGGCTACAGGTACAAGGTAATGACGTAGCCTACAGGAGAGATTCTCTAGGTGGAGAGTCATAAAAGCTTCCCATAAAAATGTGACACCTAAACTGGGCTTTGAAGGATGAATAGCAGTTGAACACCTTGTTTGTTCTTTCTAGGAGAAACTAGATTATGAAATTAAAATGGGCTGTGAGCTCTCTGGTCTGAAGAGAACAAAGTGATGCCTCCAAGTACCTGCCCCACAGGCCACGTTCATTCCTGGGTGCCATGGTCTGGACACCAGAGGGTAAGGAGTTCCAGGACCTTGCTCCCCCTCTTTCTGCCTCCAGTTTTCCTCCACAGCCCCTTGGCATTGTTGATAGTACGGTCATCCTGCTGGCACCTTCTGCTCCCAGACTAGTGGGCCACTGCAGGGCTGCTGCTGCCCCCACTCACAGGGCTGGGCACCTGTGTCAACCGTGATGGCTCCACGTGTTGGAGCCCAGGCCCATGATGGGCCAGAAAGAGCAGGCTTTTACACACACACACACACACACACATGCTCGCACCATCCTCAGTACATCGTCCCTCATCCACTGGTCAACTCCCCAAAGGCCTCTGTTCCCTCTTGGGACAATCTGACACAGGCTGCACAGCTCCTCCTGGCAGCTCTGCCTCCCTCAGCCTCCTAAGGCACAGCCTCCTCTCCCTTCAAGGGCATCATCATCACCCCCACCCGAGTGCCGAGCAGTCCCACCCGCCAGCTCCTGGCTGGGCACCTCCGCAGTTCCGCCGCTGCCAGCTCTGTTCTCACCTCCCAGAGGAGCAGCTGTCAGCACGATCTGGTGGCCAGGATGGGGGAGAGAGTGACATAAAGATGGTGCAAGAAAGGGAGAGACCAAGATAGGAAGGCAGAGAAACGGACCAGGAAGGAGCAAGAGGGCACCGTGCAGTGAGAATAAGGAGGGAGGGCAAGGCCAGGGAGGCCAGGAGCAGGCCCACCCGGAAAGGGAGGAGGTGCAGCTCTCCTGAGTCCCTCCCAGCCCTCCAGGAAAGTCTGAGAAACCAGGGACCCACCAGCTTCTCCCACTCCATCCTATGGAATGGAGAGACAGCTGGGAGAGTGCCAGGGCAGAGCTGGGCTCCCACAGGGCTTCCAGCATCCCGGGCCAGGGGTGGAGAAATAAGGAGAAGTATTTAAAACTTAGCACATGAGCAACAGAAACATACACACGCATGTGCACACACACACACACACAGAAGCACACCCATACATGCAAGCACAAACATACATACATGTGCACAGACACACAAACATAGACACACACCTAAACACACAGACAAAGATGCACACTCTTCCCAGGCTGAGTGCGTGGGGGTGCTGCTGTGAGGAGATTCAAACCGGCCTGTGGCCTGGGGCAGTGGCAGTGTGGGGGCTCTTATCCCCCAAAGTCCCAGAGAGGTTGTAGAAGCCAAGTCAAACCAGACTCCCTGCTGTTTAGAGAGTATGTCCACACCGGAGACAGGGGTGCCCCCAACCCAATGCTTCCACACCAATGGGGTCAAACATCATGGAGGGGGGTTGCTACTAAGTCCTTGTGTGCAGTGGAGAGGGAGTTCCAGATAGGCAGGGGAGATACCCAGGTCATTTGACCAGAACTGACATTGGAAGCCAAGGTGGCTGGGCCTGGTTCCATCTGGCTCTACAGCTTTGGGGATGGCAGGGGGGGTGGGTAGACTGTGGGCACAAGAGCCTCTCCTCTCCATTCACACTCCCCCTACCTGGAGGGGTCTCTTTCCCAGGGCCCACGCACCCCCAGCCAGGTGGAGCCTAGGCCCATTGCACCTGAAGAAGTCACTCCTGCCCTCTTCACCCAGCCTGTCCCAGGCAGGGCCCTCTGGGTGGTTGGGTGATTGAGCAGCAAGCACACTATTCACTGAGTCTGGTTACTTCCGCTGGAGGTTGGCTTTATGTGGAGTCAGGAGGCACTAGAAAGAGAAGCCCCTCTTCCCCTGGAGAGGGCCTTTGAGTGGGACAGGACCAGCCCAAGGCAGGAAGATGAACAGAGTAGACTGAAAAGAGACTGTACCTGCACCTTATGCCAGCCACCCAACCAGAAATCACCCCAGAGAACACAAAAAGTCACCTCAACATGCTCTCTCTGATTTTATGCCTTCAGTCCCATGTTAGGAGCTGGAGGGAAAGATACATTACCAACCACTCTCCAACTCTGCACTGGGCATGCAATACCTCTTTTGACCCTCACAACAATGGTTTATTAACCCACTTCCCAGCAGAGGAAAGTGAGCCTAAGAGAGGTAAAGCGCCACATGTGAATTTCCAGTGCAATAGCATCCAGGTCCTCCCCTTCATTTCAGTGCCTCTGGCCCCCTTCTGAGTGGAAACACAAATGAAGAAGGAATGACTCAGAGCCGGGCTTGCTCCTAATGAGAAATTTCACATTACTGGGAGAAGACTTTGGTATATGTACGTTAGTCAGCTTCCTGTTACTGTGACAAAATATCTGAGAAAATCAATTTACAGAAGAAAAGATTTGTTTTGGTTCACAGTTATGAAGGTTTCAGTCCATAGTTTGTTGGCCTGTGGCATTCAAGTTTCTGTGCATTAGGGTGGGAAGCATGTGGTGCAGCAAAGCCACTCAGCTCATGACAGCCAGGAACCGCAGAGAGGGAGGGAAGAGGGCAAGGTCCCAATATCCCCTTCAAGCGCACACTGCTTGTAACCTAACTTCCTCCCTCCAGGCACTAACTTCTAAAGATTCCACCACCTCCCAGTTGACCACAGGCTGGTGCTAAAGCCTTTAGCAGATGGGTCTTTGTGGGCTATTTAAGATCCAAATCAGGTGGATGCAATGGCACACACCTGTAATCCCAACACTTTTGGAAGCTGAGTCAGGAGGATCACAAGTCTAACCCAATCTGAACAACTTAGCAACTTAGCATGATCCTGTCTCAATAAATAAATAAATAAATAGAAGATAGATAAATAGAAAGATAGATAGGTAGATAGATAGATAGATAGATAGATAGATAGATAGATAGATAGATAGATAGATGCTGGGGATGTGTGAGGGCCCTGGACTCAGTTCCTAGTACCAAAAAAAAAAAGAAAATCCAAAACAGCATTTGTGGTGATACAAGCTGAGCCTCAGACCCTGGAACTAGGGTTTCAGGAGAGGCTGAGCACCACCGTGGTCAGTGTGCTCCAAGACCAAACTGTCTGGGCTGAACACTGTTTGCTCATTTCTGGCCACAATATCCCTTTCATTGTCCCCACAATGAGACCAGCAAAAGCACATTGTAGCAGATGTGTCGGAAAGCTTAAATGCAGTCCCTCTGGAAAGCACTTAGAGGGTTCCAAGCTCATAACAAATGCTTCGGAAATGGCGGCTGTGGCTGTGGCTGTGGCTGTGGCTCAGGGAGAAGCTCTCTGCCTAGCAAAAGGAGAGCACTTGGGGCAGTGCAGACAGGCAAAAGTGAGCAGCAGGAAGAGGAGCCGCCAGCTGCTGTCACTCCAGGGCTTCCATCACTTGACATCACCCGCATGATGGGTGGGGTTGGATTTGTTGCAAAAGGACCAAAGTAGCAGCTGAATCTCCAGCCCAGGTGGGCTGGGGGAAGGGGTAGAGCCCAGGGAACTTGAGTTTCCTGGATGTCATAGCAATGCTAGGGAAGGAGTTGAACTCCCCCAAGGGCACAGAAATTGGGAAGTTCCCCAACACTGCAACTCAAATGCAAGAACCATGAGGCTTCCAGCTAAACAAAATCAGAGTGCAGAGTGCCAAGGAGTTCGTGTAATGACAAAACCAGCCAATTTCAGTGGAGCGCTCACTGTGTGCCAGGCATGGTTGAGAGATTTTATACACATGACCTTTTGACTTTAATTATGCCTCAGAATAATCTTCAGACATTGGTAACATGATTAAACCTGTTTTACAGATGAGAAAACTTGGGAACAGAGAAGTTAAGTGACTTATCTGCAGTTACACAGCTAATCTGTGGTATCCAGAGAGTCAGGCTCCAGAGTCCAGATTTTCTGCCCCTGCTCCTGTTCTCCTGCATGCCATAAAGCAGTGAAGGGCAATGGAGTACAAATGGGAGAGCATCACAAGGCTGTCAGGAGCGGGGACTGACATCGTGCCTGCAGATGTGGTCACAGCACAATGGTGAGGACCTGGCAGAGTCTTCATATTCCTGACTCCACACTCAGCAAATCCCAGGCTCTCCAGTGAGCTCCAAATCTGTACCAATCCTTGCCACGTAGTGACCCACAGAAGCTTACGCACAAGAGCCTGTGGTGCTAACCTTGGCCAGCAGCTCTGAACCTACCAGGCACAGTCCCTCTAGCATGAGCCCTCACTCTACTGGACACATGGCTGACCAAGCTTGGCCTCCACACTCTCCCAGCACCCCTCTCCTGGCTGTGTCCCACTGCTCAGATAATGCCACCATCTGGGGCCCATCTGCAGGGAGCTTAGCTGCCTGCTAGAGGCGGGGCATCTCCATCTGCATCTCCGGGGAGCACCCTGAGGCTCCATACGTCTCAGGACAGGCAGGACAGTGAGAAGCCAGGGTGTGCAGCCGGTGCTGTTCACAGCTACTGCAGAAAGATCATCACAAAGAGGCAACTGGTATGGTGGGAAGAGCAAGTGGGATCCAACTCTGAATTCACCTCACTGGCGATAAGTAAGCTCACTGGCTTTGGGCACATTGGTTAAGCTCTCTGAGCCAGTTTCTTTACCCGTAAATGGAGATAATATTGGACAGATGTCACCGGAATTCTATCTTCTTTGTGTATTCTTTACACCTGCAATAGGGCACAGGAAACATGTTCATGGGAGAAATGAATGAATGCAACCAACTCGCTGGCCATTTTGCCATCTTTCTTGCGCTCAGATCCCCAGTTCAGGCCAGAAAATTGTGCTTGACAGCTCTCAGACAGTGAGAGTAACTGATTCCCCTTTATGGTGATGGGGTGGGGCTGGGCCTGTGACCTGGTTCCAGCCAATGACATGTAAGGTCTGCTGGGGGTTCTGGGCAGGGTTTCCATCCCAGATCAAAGGAAAAGGGCTCATGGCTGTAGAAGAGTGAAGAGTTTGCAGATGAAGTAAGAAAACACCAAAGGCAAGTGAAAGTGTCACCATCATCTGAAGAGGGCAGAAGAGAAAGAGCAGAGCAGGAATCCTTACTTTGGGCTGCCAGCAGTGTTGGGGCCTCCTAGCATGAAATTTCTTGTTCATTAACAATCACTGTCGATGAGGTCAAGCCATGACTAGTCCGGACTGAAGATTCTTGCCGCTGTAAACATTTCTCTGACACAGTGACCAGTGGGTGACTGAGTGCATGTCTGGTAACCTGAACAACTGTGTGCAAATATTTGTCATTACTGACAACATTAACACAGCAGTACCCCGGTTATTCAACATTATCAACAACGTGCTCTTGCTCAAAAGGAAAATTTCAAGATAATTGAAGTTTACATCCTTTAGGCTCCAAAGTATTATTTTGATTGTCACTGGTTTTGATTACAAAAGTAACATTTGAAATGTATCACACTCCCATCCAGCTGTCCCTCTCCCTCCCCCACACACACACACTGGCAATGCTGGTGAGAATCGATTTAACTCAATCTGGATTCTGCACTCACTGTGAAACACACATCACTGAAGCACCATGAGCCTGGCATTGCCCTGGAACAACAACAATTGGGGCTGCAGAGTCTGGCTCTTAGTTCCCCAGTCGTCTTCCCTCAGGGCTACTTCCCAACATGTCTCCAGCTGTCACAGGGTGACTGCCTCTTGTAGCGCTCCTCAGAGTGGACAGAATTTGCGGTTCTAGGCTCTCAAGTTAGATCGTCACACTTGCTGGACATGTGCACAGTGGATTCTTGCAATGAGCCTTGATAAGTATATCACACCAAGGGTGCTAACGCAGGCTCCTACCCCAAAAGAAAGGATCGTTCATTTATCCGGTGGTTGCCAAGCACTTAGACACTGGGGTAATGGAGGTAAAGAATGCAAGCTTTAAAGCCAAAGGCCTGTGTTCAAATCACAGCTCTGGGGCTGGGGATTTAGCTCAGTGGCACAGCGCCTGCCTGGCAAGCACAATGTCATGAGTTCAATTCCCGGTACCGGAAAAACAAACAAACAAACAAAAATCAAATCACAGCTCTAATATTCACAGGCAGTGCCCACCTGGGTAAGTTATAATCCCTTTCCAATCCTCAGTTACCCCCACCTGTACAATGGAATCAATCATACCACCTTCTACATATGGATGATACAAGGAATGAAGAAGGTAATGTGCTTAATGTTCATAGGACAATGCCTTTTTATTTTGTGAGGTCTCAGTAATATAAGCACATGTTGGCTATGTGCTGGGCTTTTCTCTGGTTATCAGAGAAGCAACAGTTAATGAAAATTGCATGTCTCCTAGCCCAGGAAAGTGACAGTTAACCCCTGGCAGGTCAACTGTACCCCAAACATACAGGTAAAAATTCTAACAAAAGCATATATTCCTTCTTCATCTCCCAGGGAGGTCAGAAGCCCAAAACAGGAGCTATGAGGCAACCTGGCCAGGCCAAAGAAGGCTTCCCACTGACCCAAACTGTGGCTAAAAGAGGAGTGAGTATATTAGTTCCAAGACTGCTGTAACCAATGACCCCAAACTAGGCAACTTACCACAGCAGAAGTGTATTCCCTCATAGTTCTGGAGACCAGAAGTACGAAATGAAGGTGTCAACAACCCCGTGCTCTCCCCAGAGATTCTTGGAGGCAATCCACCCCTTGCCCTTTCCAGCTTCTGGTGGCATGAAGACTTCAGCATTCTTTGTGATTACGTCACTCCAAACCCTGCCTCTGTCCTCACAGAGCCTCCTCCTCTCCTCTGTGTGCAAGTCTCCCTCCTCTTCTTAGAAGGACATTGTCATCAAATTTAGTGTCCACCAGAGGCAATCCTGGATGATCTTATCTCAAGATTCCTAACTATAAAACCCTTTTCCCCAAATAAGATCACATTTACAAGTTCTGGAGATGAGGATGTGATTTTTCATTGGGGTGGCACCATTTAACCCACCACCATGACAGTCTTCCAGGAAAAGCGAAGCCAGATATAGCCTCAAGTCATAGGACCCCAGCAAACAAAGAGAGGTGTCAAGTGATAGGGACTCAGGGAGAGAAGAGCATGCCTGGCCTGGGGAGAGAGACAGTGGTGAGGTTAGCCTTCTCCAGAATTCAGAGAAGGCACTGGATGCCAGCACCAAAGTCAGCAGGGAAGCCCATGTCCAGGGTGGTCATGGGAGAGCTGCAACCTGATGGACACATAAGTTCCCAGGTGATTTCTCTGAACATTGTGTGCTAGTTAGCTTTTCATCACTGCAATAAACTTTCTGAGATAAATCAATTTAATTAAGGAAAGGTTTATTTTGGCTTATGGTTTCAGAGGTTTCAGTCCATGGTTAGTTGGTTTTGTTGTTTTGGGGCTTGTGGTGAGGCACAGACATCACATGCAGCAAATCTGTTCACATCAAGGTGACCAGAATGCAAAGTGAAAGAAGGCCACAGCCCCGTTATCCCCTTCAAGGAGGGGCGTGCCCTCAATGACTTCACTTCCTTCCACAAATCACCTCCTCCTGAATTTTCCATCACTTCCCAATAGTGCTATAGGCTGCAACCAAGCCTTTAACACATAACTCTTGGGAGACACTCCAGATCAAACCATAGCACAGAGGCTGCCAGTTTTAGGGAAATAGGCTAATTTTAGACATCTGGAATGGGATTGGGTCTCTGCTCTTATGACAGTCCTGGCTGCTTTCTTGGCACAAGGCTTTAATGTCTAGCTTATGCAATAGCATCTTGGTGGCTTTGTCCTCTTTGTCCCAGGCAACCCTCCAGCCCTCCGTGAGCCACCCCATATTCAATATCCATCAGGCACCAGGTCTACAGCATCCCCACCCACACTGTTCTCACCAACCACCACCCCATTCGTTCTTTTAAAATGAGCACATGCCTATATTTAGTACATTTATTTGTAAATACATTCTGGTATTGCGGCACTAATACTTTACATGGATTATAAAATATCATTACACTTATTTAGATTTTTAAATGATTAGGAAAATTAAAATTTAAGTCATTTTAGTTTATATATTTATTAACAGTTCAAAGCATTTTTACGCTCAGTAAAAATTTTAATGAGGGTCATGTGATTGGAAATGTTTCATTTTTTAAAAACAAAGCTCTATGATACAGCAGCTCAAAGGTCTTGTTCTTAATTCAGATTATTTTTATACTTGGTTTTAATTGCTGTTATGGCTGAGGTAAAATAAAAGAAAGCTACCTTGTGAAGACACACTGATCCCAATGGGAAAATAGCAATGCTGGCTGTGCTTACTAAATTCTCATAGTTATTTTTCATTCCCATCCACCAATTATGCAAAGTTTTTTGTTGAAATTCAGCAAGCAAATTTCCATCTTCCCTGATGTCAATCAGAGGTTCTTAAAACTAATCAAAAGGTGTTACATTTTTATATTTTTAGCAAATAGGTTCTGAAACACTTTAGAAGATTTTTAAAAGCAGGTTAAAATATTCTGTTTCCAAGTTTTTAAAGTTTACTTAACATGCAAGTTGTAATAGATGAGATATATGTATAATTTTTGTCCAAAAAATCATGATACAGTGAGACATTTCCAAATATTTATTATAGAAATACTCTCTTCATAGCACTAGTTTCTTTCAGAAAGTAATTTCTTTTTCAGTCATTATTTACCTATCAAAAGTACCACAGAGAATTAGAAACAAATACACAGTTTTTGTTGTTTTGTTTTTTCTTTCAAAATCTCTGTTGCTTAAATGCAATGTGGTATCATGAGTTGGTACAGAAAAAAGGGCATTAATGGAAAAACTGATAAAATCCAAATACAGTCTGGAGTTTTGTTAAAAATAATGTACCAATGTTAATTCTTTCACAAACATATTATGGTTATATAAAAATTATATTATGGGAAATGGGTAGAGTATATAGTTACTCTGTATTATCTCTACAACTTCCTTCTAAATATAAAATTATTTCAAAATAAGAAGAACTTATTTTTTAAAATCTTGGTTGTATAGCATGTTTTTGACAGCCCAATTGTCATAAAAATAGTCAGCAAGTTTGAAATGGTTCTCATTTGGAAAAGAAAAATACACAAGCTACTTCAAGTTCCCACCTTGTTATTTTGACACAAGATGACCACCAAACCTCTCTATTCTCATTATAAAATACTATAAGGATTCTACTATTATTTATGATCTCATTTTTATAGTATAAATCACATTAGTGACATTCTGCATCATTTTGTACACTTGTACCTTCAACTTCTGTGCTTCAACAGCAAGTCTTCCAAAGAATTTCATGCTTGGTGTAATCTCTAACTTAGCCCTGAATCCTTTATGTATTACAGTTCAGTATCTACTCTGTCACGGTTATATTCATATTGTTTTCTCATAAAACATTGCCTTCATTAAATAAGTCACTGATTATTGGAAATGAATCTTTCTCAGGACATCTCATAAAAAAGTAATTCTTTGTGTATTTCATTACTGGGATCCAAATCCAACACACACCATAAACTGAGACATGTTAGAAACATCTGCACATTTTATCCAACTGTACAGTGAGTTTCCCATGCTGCACAATTTGTACTAGTGTTTGTTTCTTTACATCTTCAGCAACGCTCTCTTTTGCATCTTCCAACCATTCTTGCTGACAAAGGGCTGCATTTAAGTTTGTCCATGGATTTTTTTTTTCCTGTGGCTCATTTCATCTATTTTTCTGGAGGCAGGAAGAACAAGCATTTTCTTGATGGTGTGAGGCCTTTTATCTTTCATTATTAAGTAAGGAACTCTCAAAAGAGGCATCTAAACATTTGTCACAAAGTGTCAGAATGTATGTAAAGAACCAGAGGGAGCATCACATAACTTTAGACATCACTGTAAGAAAAAAAAAATTAAAGCTTGGCTTCGTATTCTGGGTGCTTCATTTTTTAAGAATATTATGGTACTAGGAGAGGCTCACTTAGGAGCTGATAACAAACAAGCCAAATATCTATGACTTAAAATAGTACAAATTTATGATGTGCCACATGCACATCACAGGGCAGCTGTGTCACAGCCTCACTCTAGGATGAGACCAAACCACTCCTTAGAGAATGTTGTCAGTCCTCATGAAAAGAGAAGAGCGTGATGAATCATATACCACTTCCCAAGACTTCCACCTGGAAGTGACACTCGTCACTTCTGCTCAGAACTCAATGGACAGAACGTGCTCCATGTGGCCACACTTGCTCCAAGCAGGCCAGGAAGTCAGTTGTCAGAGAAGAATCAGAAATAGCTGGTGCACGTACACATTTGTTGGTTAAGACTTTGCATTCTCTTCAGCTAATATCACAAGGTTTATCATTAGTATTAGTATAATACACATAGGCAACTCTTTAAAGTTTCTTCCTTCTTCATCTACTTTCCTGTTTTGTCTGATTAAATCATCTATTTAATCATCTATTTAAAGTGTTATTCTTTCCATTGTCTGCTTACTTGTGCTTACATTTACTAGTGTTCTCTCCAAACTATAATATCTTTGCAGGAAAATATAAAGCCACACACTCATAAAGGGTTAGTTAAGATTGAATTATCTCAGGAAAGGACAGGCACAGGAAAGTTCTTAGTGGGACTATTTATAAAATTCAAAAGCTTTAAACATCAGAAGTGTCTGTCAATAGAATAGACACACATGTGCAATAGAATGATATGCAGTAATGAGAATGAACAAACTACACTGACAGTGTGACCTGCATGATCCTCACAAATACTAGGTTGAAGGAAAGGAATCATTCAAATGTATTGTTTCATGTATCTAGAGCTCAAAAATATGTGAAACTCATTTATGGTGCTAGAAATGGGGACAAGGATTACCTAGGGATAGGTAGTGACTGAAAGGCCATCATACAAATGGACTTGAGAAGGCCGGTCACTTCGTATTTCTTAATCTCTATGTTAGTTATGGGATCATATCCATCTTCTGAAAATCCATTGACCTGTACTCTCAATATGTATATTTTTTCTGTATATAAATTATACTTCAATTAAAAGCTCAGTTAAAATCAAACTGAATTATATAATCCATGGATTCCCTGTCCAGATGCATATAAATTGAAATATAGAGACTGAAAAGATATAGTGGAGCAGATTGCCTTGTGGAACTTACCTCCTCCCTCAGGAGGCTGCCTTGACCCCTCAGTGTTCCATGACTGCTTGACATACGACAGGGCACCAATATCAATCCATGTATTAAAGACATGTAAAGATGAACTTGTATCTTTTTAAGTCGACCAATCAATATAAATTGTATCAGTTCTAATATTTTCTTTCCATTTCCCAAGGACCACTTTAAGAACATAATTTTGCAGATACTTTCGTCAGGCTTAAGCTTGATTCAGAACCATGGACAGAGCCCACCCTTCCCACCCTAAAAAAAAATTAGGAGCAAGAAGCCTGTAACTCAGATTCCTTCCCTGCTAGCATATTCAATAAGCATTTCAGAGGCCTATGCACAGATGCTGTGATAATTTAGGCATAGAGAAAACATGAGCTTCAATAATATCAAACCAAGGTCCTTAATGAGATTTGTTTAATGACAAAATATGTTAGGAAATTTCTGGAATCCCATCTGATCATGAAATAAATGCTTGGGTGAAGCAAATGCTCTGCATACTACAGTGCATATACATGGATTGTCAATTTTAAAGAGTAACATGAAATGCACTTTGCTCTAACACCACACTAGTCAGGAAAAAATGTTTTGCATAATGCAGAAGGCACTTCAGAGACTTGTAAGGCTTTACAACACACAATTCATAAGAAATTGAGTTTGCATTTGAATCCATGTCTTTCTAGCTCCAAAGTTCATGCTCTTTTTCTGAATTATGCTGTTGTTTTTTAAACAATATGACTGTAAAAAGTGGAAAATTAAGAGGACTCCAGAGATAGAAGGAG